TTAAGGATAAAAATTAGCATTACAGCCCTTAACAGATTTAACTTGCATTTCCCTGGTTGTGAAGGAGTTGAGCCCCTTTTAGTATGTTCATTGTTGTTGTTGTTGTTGTTATGTGCCGTCGAGTCAAACCCGACTCATAGCGACCCCTCCTTGGGTTTCCGAGGCAGTATCACTACGGAAGTAGCATTGCCCAACCTTCCTTCTGAGTATGTTCATTGGCTATGTGTATTTCTCCTTTGTAGATCATCTGCCCATCTGGCTTTTTATTTTACGTTTAGCTCTTTGATTATCTGGGATTTAATTTTGTGAACTATGTGAGCTAGAGATCTAATTGAACTTTTTTTTCCCAAAATGGATAATGATAGCACTTATTATATGTTGTATTCTATCTGATTTAGGACACTGTGTTTACTAAGTTTGACGAATACTTCCAGAATCTAAATTATCCCATGGATCTGTTTTTCTTTCATGGCTCATACCACGGCTAATGATCACAGCTAATTGTTTGAATGGAGATGACTTTATTATGTAAATATAATGTTGTAAACATTGTGTATTTATTTATATGTTTGACATCTGCTAGGTGATGTCCTGTCTCATTGTTTTGTTTTTGTTCAGTTTTGGTTTTTGTGTTTTGGGTTGCTTGGTTCAAAATTTTCCTTGTCTGTTATTTTTCATAGGTGCTCTGGTGGCATAGTGCCTAAGGCATTTGACTGCTAACCAGAAGGGTGGCAGTTCAAACTCACCAGCCACTCCTTGAAAGGAAGATTGCGCAATCTACTTCTGTAGAAATACCACCTTGGAAATCCAAGGAGGGATTGCTATGAGTTGGAACTGATTATTTTTCATGGTCTTTTCGATGAATTTTAGAATTATTTTGTTAAATTCCATAAACATATCATGTTGGCATATTGATTTAGGATGACAATTGAATTTGTAGATTATTTTGGGGAGAATTGGCACCTCTTTAATTTTAAGTGTTTCTGTCCAGGAATATAATACATTTCAGCTTCTTTAGCATTTCTTTTATGTCCTTCAATAAAGTTTATCTGCTTTTTTTGTGTGTGTTTTCTCCCCCTCCCCAAGAATTGCTTTATTTTTGTCATATTTTTTTTCCTATTTCACTAATCACTGCACTTACCTGTATTAATTCAATTAATTTTTGTGTTTATTTTGGTCTTCTTTTTCTAGCTTATTCAATCAAAAACTTAGTTTATTCCTTTCGATATTTTTCTAGTTACTGTATCTAGTGTATAAATGTTTCTCTAAGTACTGCTTTGGCTTCATCTCTCAGGTTTAAAATACAGTTTTCTCAATGTCATTCCTTGCTGAAGAGATTTTTACTTTTCATTTCAAAATCTTTATCGAAGAGATTATTTAGAATATTATTTTTAAATTTCCAAATTTATTTTGACTAGTTATTATTTTTAGTTTCTCACTGCTGATTGTCTTTAGTTGTACCTATATACTTTCAGCTTTCTTTGGGATTTATTGAGGTTTTTTTTTTTGTTGCCTAATACATGTTCAGTTTGTAAAACTATCCCACATGTATTCAAAAATAATGTATAGTTTGTTGGATGCAAAGTTTCTATACATCTGTTAAATTGAGTTTGTAAATTCGATTATATAAAATATCTATATTTTTCCTTATTTTTGATCTACTTGTTTGATCTATCCGAGAGAGATATGCTGACATCTTCTAATGTAATTGTGGCTTTATCAATTTCTTTTCATATTTCAAGTATTTTTTCCTTTATACTTTTTTAAGGGTATGTTTATATGTGAATATGTGCTATGTCTCCACGATAAACTGGATCTTTCATCACTATGTTTACTTAGATCCTTTTCAACTGAGATTCCGCTTTGTCTGATGCTATCGCTAGTGTATGTGCTTTCTTTTTGTTAGTATTTGTTTGGTTTCTCTTAAAAATCTTTTTATTTTCAACTTCTTTGTTTCTTTTATGTGTATTTTGTGTATCATGCTATGGAAAGAATGATTTAATGCAAAATGAAATGCCATGTCTTATAATATGTGACTTTAACCCGTTCACATATATGGTGACTGATGATATAATTGGACTTACTATCTTAATGCTGTGTTGTAGTTATTGTGCTAATGGTTGAAAACGTTATTCTTCATCTATGTATCCCTAAAGCCATGCAGAGGGGCTAGCTCCAAACAGTATATGTTTAACAAATGCTTACTGAATTAAAACTTCCTCGATCGCCTAATTCTAATCTAAGAGACAATTTATGGCAACAGAGCTCAGTTATAAGGTGTTGGGACTGAAGTTTAAATTTTTGGTCAAAGAAATTTCAAGAAGAATTTAGTTACATTATTAAATCTAAGGAACTTTTCCCATTTGTGTAGATTTCATGTGTAAGATTTTGAGTTTTCTGTAAATTATGAGGTCCACTAGTGGTCCTGCTGATAATGAAGGTGGAGCTAAGGAGTGAGTGAAGTGATCTCAGAACTGGAGAATAAAATCAAGGATATCATCTCCACCAAGCATGCTCTTTATGCCTGTGCCCAATGAAAGACATTTTCTGAAAAAGGTGATATTACTCAGCTGTTTTAGCTCATGTCTGAGCCTCTTATTTCTTTGTATTTCCATCTGCACTTACTGGAGTGCTGCATAATTGGTTGATGGAAAAAAATAATATTATGACAACATTAGTTTTACTGAAGATTGCTCTTTCAAAAGAGCCACTATGCTGGGTAAAGACAAACGGATTTAATTAAGGATATATAAAATGAAATCAGGATGGCTCACAACCCATTAGATATCCTTTTTGTAATTTAATTGACAGACACTGAAAAATTAGAAGAAGCATATGTTGTGTGCAGTGCAAAGAGTACTGGCCTAGTAATCAAGGGCCTCCCAGACTTGGCTGTGTCACTTGGGTTCTTCAAAATGTCTCTGGAAATCTCTCTTAGTACAAAGGAGCCAGATTAGTTGATCTCTTATGTTTCTTTCAGCTCTAAAATGCTTCTTGTCTGTTTCTGGGAATCTTACCTGGAACTCAGTTGACAGTTGACCTAACCACGGCTTTTAAAATTCTACCATGAGCTAATTTATAGCTCAAATCAGCTACTTATTCAATTATTTATTGCTATAAACTTTCCAGATTTCACAGATCTGAATGTTATATTAGCATTTCATAGATTTGAATGCTGTAGTAAGTATGCTGTGCTTTTTAAAGCCATTATACATTAGCCAGCTATTGAACTGTTGTTGTTGTTGTTGTTATGTGCTGTCCGAGTTGGACCTGACTCACAGTGACCCCTCCTTAAGTTTCCGAGGCAGTATCACTATGGAAGTAGATTGCACAACCTTCCTTCCAAGGAGTGGCTGATGGGTTTGAACCGCCAGCCCTGTGGTTAGCAGTCAAGTGCCTTGGGCACTATGCTACCAGAGCTATTGAACTAAGAGGATAGAAATCTGTAGCTTTTCAAGACGTGTTTCCTTGTTTAGAAAAGTGCCCACCTCAGTGATTCCTTGGCACTTGGATGAAAGGAAGGAAGTAGAGGAGTTGGAAGGGCCAAATGCAGCCTTTTTAGGCAGATACTGTAGATTTATTTCTACGATGCTGGATAGACCCAGTTTGTTTTCTGTTCTCCCTTCTTTCCTGAAAGAATAATAATTTGCAGTACATGATGAACTGGAGAAACTGCAGGGGTACCATCTTCCTTTCCTGTAGTTTGATTGGAAATTTGGAGATTTCATCTAATTGAAACCAAAACCAAAACCAAAACCAAACCTATTGCTGTGTAGTCAGTTTTGTCTCATGGTGACCACCCCATGTATTATAAGATAGAGTTGCTCCATGGGGTTTTCTTGACTGTAATTTTACAGAAGCAGATCACCAGGGCTTTTCTTCCATGGCACACTGCTGGGTGGGCTTGAACTACCAACTTTTAGGTTAGTGGTTGGGCACAAACTATTTGTGCCAGAGATCTTGTGATCTAAGGTTGTTGTTATTGTTGTTGTTATGTGCCGTCAAGCTGGACCTGACTCATAGTGACCCTTCTTGGGGTTTCCGAAGCAGTATCATTATGGAAGCACATTGCCAAACCTTCCTTCTGAGGAGTGGCTAGTGGGTTTGAACCGCCAGCCTTCTGGTTAGCAGTCAAGTGCCTTAGGTACTACGCTACCAGAGAAGGTTAGAGGTTGAAAAAGAGAACTTCTAAGCCATAATCTTAACTTGAGGTTTGTCCAAAAGCAAACTGCTCTGTTAAGGGCCAAGGTCAGGACTGACCAAGAAAAAACAGAGCTTGGCTGAGCTAGTAGATTTCCATAGCTCTATAAACCATACCCTTTCCCGTCAGCATTCTCTTCCAACTGTGTCTAGAATTAGTTGTGGCTCCACCACCATTTTCTTCTTCCCAGCCATCTCATGATCACTACATCATTAGCCTTGGGATGCTGACATTCTGCATGATGGTTTTTCAGCTATTCTTCTTGGAATTTAGGAGTTCCAGTAAGCCCTTCAAAGTTCTCCAGGCAAGAAATGGGAAGGCTAGTGGGAGCCCTGAATGACATTCAGGTGTAATTTAACATACATACATCTATGTAACTAATACATTTGGCAAAAAGACTAGAAGGAAATTCAATATAATTTTAACTGTGTTTAACTCTTAACTGGTGGGATATTTTATTAACAGTCCTTTTCTAGTATTTCTACAATTAAATATGTGTTTT